GAAAGGAAATGAGTAAAGGAAAGTAGGGGAGTATGTAAGTAAGCGAATCCGCACCTGAGGGGGTGAGTAAAGCAATAGACTTTTCAAATTGCAAGTCCACTGCTCTATTATAAACAATCTATATATTATCATTATCAGTTACCGTTTACCACGTGACTTATATATATATCTATTTATCTATACATCTCATCTCATCGTATTGCATCTCATCTCATCATATCGCTATATCATCTTCTACGAGCAGGACGACGATCAATCTACAAATATCGAAATAAAACCGACAACTTACAAGTTTCCGAATACATGATGAGAGAGGAGAGCTCGACTAGGAGCGAAAAGAATATTCGATATATTTCATAGCCTGCGATAAACTCACATTACCAAAATATTGATAGAAAAGTTTGAATATGATATGAGGGAAGTATTTTCTGTATACTCATAGGCCTTAAAAAAAGAAAAACGAGAAGAGAAGAAAGAAGAAAGAAGAAAGAGGAGGTTCATAAAAAGTTTCATAATTATATGAATAGGTATAATGATATAAATTGAGATACCTAACTATAGGATTTTAAAGGAGGAAGGGAGAGGTTGTGAGGAATCTCCCTTTATGTCTACACTCTGACACTCTGGTTCTTACTCTCAGGCGCAAGGATTCTAAATGGATTTGCGCAATGCGAACTCTCGATAATACTTGGTAGTCGAGGCTTTGAGATTTTCCATGTTGAGGTTCTTCGATGGGTATGTGTATGTGTATGTGTATGTCGATTTTGTGTGTACATGGATGAATGGATGAATGGATCAATGAATCAATGGGAGGAGATAGAGACTGATAGTTAGCATAGGAATGCAGCAGAATATAGACGAATCACGAGAGTGGTTGTTGGTATGTGAAATCAGTATCTGTAATTCATCAATTTTCTAATTCAAAGGTATTCTTACATATGACATGGTGATGGATATGTATATTTGAGACTATAAGCATAATATAGAGTCATAAGTATCTGTTAAATGTGCGCATGAAATGTAGAGAAAGAATGAAGGAAAAATTGATAGGTTGGTAGTTGAATTTATGTCGACACTCATCTTAATACCTATTCCTTTTTCGACCTTTATGAACATCAATGGGTTCCCTTCCTCTGGGGGCGAAAATTCCCCTTTTGAGCTTCAAGCACGTGTCATATAGCTTACCTATCGATCATTGCCGTCCTTTTGATGTGCCATTTTTTTTTGGTTCTCTCATCTGGAAAGTTCCTAGATTGATGCCGAGGAATAATTTGCCATCGATTGCTGTGTTCATCAAAGACAAATTTTCTTTGAAATGGGTGCGTACCTATTCATCAACAATTCCATATTCTCATCGCGTTGACCCTTCCGTTGACCCTTCCGCCATCTCCTATAATAACGAGGACGTAAACTCACTTACAAGAAAAATTCGGGGCCGCAAATCATCTACCAATTACCTACACCTATTCCACAAACAATTCACTACCCATCCACTCTCTCCCGGACCTAGCCGAGACCCTCCAGAGCCGCCAACGACGTCCAAAAAAAAAGACTCTATATTCATCAATAGACGAAGATTAAAAACTCCAAAAATTCAATCGCAAGGTGAAAGCTTTAACATTAGAGAACTTAAAAGGGTCGAGGCCTTTCTTCCAACATGAAGGTCTTATGCCGCAGCGCAACGCTTTACCGTTGTGGCAACTGGATGCAGCAACATGTCAGGATTTAAAGTTGTCGCGTTGTTTTGACATTATGTGTCTAAGGCGGCGGGGCGGTGAGATAGTAGTGGCATCATCTACAAACTGCCACTCGCTGTCGCGTAAAGCGTGGGTATGCCGCCGAAGATTTGATACTCCAAAAAGGTTGGCCACATACCATCATGTCGAAATCGGTACATTGATCAGAAGATTGACGGTAGGGCGATGATTGATGGCTTGTAAAAGCAAAGCGAAGATGGAAGCTAATCTTGTTGATGAGGGTATGAAAATGAACCTTGTACTCAGACAAGGTGAATACTGAACGTAATGCTTGATCTTAGTAATGCCAAGAGGCAACTGCCTCGTCACCGATATAGAGAATTTCATATCCATTGCATCTGGAACCATGAAAGTCAAATGACAGTTCGTAAGCTGACGATGATTCCTTCAATCTGGGCACTGGAAATCTGAGGTCCGGTGACTCAAGTTTCAGTTGCAAGTTGAGAACCGTATTTCAGTCTCGTGTCGACGTTGTCGCTTGAATTTCTTTTAGACCTTTTCGAATCGAGTCATAAGAGATGAAGTCAAGGAAAGAAATTGCCTCGAGCTGAAACAGCAACTCAAGATGGCATATAAGACAATCGAGAACGATGGCTTGACTAATCTCTAAGTCTGAGGTCTGAGGATAGTGGATTAGCGAGACTAGCCACCCCGCGAATTTGTCTGGGCTTCTTCGTCAAGGGGTAGACCCACAATCTTTGATCACACGTCTTTCGCTGGGACCGCCAAGGTGTCAGTCCTGCTAAGATATAGAAGCATTCCCCAGCAGTCGTTACCATTCTTTAGGTTCTTCTAGATCGCTCTTTTTGCCCCAGATGTCGAGTAAACCGACATGCTCGAAAAGGATAATAAATTGGTGATGCTTCCGACTTATTTTCGTAAAATTATGCAAATCGCCCAGCTTGTCAATGTACGTCGGGTCAAATTCAAAAATTCTTCGGGGAATGGGTATCTTTCGAGGTTGCGAGACATCCATTTGACTTTTCTCTATGTCGACATTGCTTATTGGTAATTAATCATCAAGGTGGATCTTGGCACCGGAGAATATGATGTAGAATTTCTCCATAGCCTCAAGCTTCAATCTATGAAGCAGCCAGCATGAGAAGGCGATAGCACAATGGCTTGATCTTCAGCATGTGACGCCGGTTTATCCCATTTTTGAAAGAAGATATCAATATAGAGAAGGCAGAAAACAATTGATCAACGAATTTGTTCTCAGCTCCAACTATTAAATCAGTCGTTAATAAGAGACTGAACACCAGAAACATACGTTGTAATCCTGCCAAGGTCCGAACCGCACTTGTACGGCATATCGAGACTATGAAGCACTCGCTTCTAGATTCCGCGATAATCCTTATAGGGATTTTATCGCTTGAAGCATAGAAATCTATCTAATTCCCTCATACTGCAAAGTCCGATCTAGATACCAGATAATAACGGTATTGCAATATGAGCCATTTCTTTTTACAAACGGCTACTTGCTTGAGTGATTTTAGATATTGTAACAGTTGTTGCAAAAGATAGGTATTTTAGAGGTTTCGTGATGGAAAAGATTTGGGGCCTTGTGATGATGATAAGGCGATTTGCTCCGCTGCTTTTTCGTATCAATGACATGGCATTGTTGTCTCTGTTGTTAGAGAAGGGCAAGGGTTTACTTTTTGGAAGAAAAACACGTAGACGCTACCGGAAAAGCCACGTGAATTGCCTCGGGTAAGAATTTTTCCATCCAACACGGTAAGACAAGACCCATAGAAATGATTGTCTTAGAACAGCAACTGTTTTCGTGCTCGTCCTCGTCCTGTCCTTTCTCCAGATTTCTGTTTTCGTTTGACCCAAATTAAGTAATTAAGCGTCTATTGATGACTTCAATGCCCCGCTAAATATCATGAATCTTTTGGACGCATACGAGTAGACTAATAATAAGTCTCAAATTAGTCCACGGGCCAATGGGACCCTCAAAATAGATACGATTAGGTACCGATTTGCTACCCGAAGCTAAGGATTGGTCCTCGACCAAGGCACGTGTAAGGGTTGATCCGAGTTCTAAGGGGGGCTTTGAAGGCTGTGAAGGCTTAGAGGACTGAGAAGACGTGAAAGTTAGACTACCCGAATCAGTTTGCGGGGAACTTCGGAGCATGTGAATGAATGCCAAGTTGTGGGGATTACCCCTATGAATGGGAAAATTTGATGACAGGGAGTACGTTATCGATACCCCACGCTTTCCCACACGACGGGAGATTAGCCACCAGTACGGTACCGTGGTGTTGTATCTCTATCTCTTCACCACGAGGCCCAAGGAGGGGGGAAGGGGGCACTGGGGTAACCGATGAGAAATAACAATCATCTTGTTTGTGGTTGGTGAGCTATCCATTGAGGAAGACATACTACTTGATTCACGCGACAATTTATGAGGATGCACTGTCTGTTTCTACTGGCGTTTATTATGAATAGATGCATTTCAATTGTTGTATCGTAACAAGTCTTATTGATGGGTCGTGTGAGCAGATAACTACTTCAGAAGTCCCAAGTATCTAATCATCTACCGGTACTCAATGGGGAAGGCTTGATTACAACAGAAGGTGGCTTACTCGCATTGCCTCTCCCCAGAAAGCTTATTTAATTTGATAAATGCAATGCAACTGTAGTTTTATCTAATAGTCGATCAAGTTTCAAGAACGACGGCGGCTGAATTCGAGTCGAGCATAAAATCGGTTTGTTGTCTTACAATGTTACCCCCTTTCAGATGAATGCTGTGATGAATGCTGTGATGAATGCTGTGATGAATGCTATGATGATATGGAAACTGCAGGTGTAGATCTCCTTTTGCGATGGAAACCACGATATTCAGCGATTTCTAATGATATTTCTGTTTTGTTTGCTTCATCCGCTGGTCCTGTCATGTCCTGCCTTATCCTGTCTTGTTGTTGTATCTAGCGACTGCAGATTATCGTTACTTTGATAACCACCGCTTGGATCTGATATCATTCTGCCTCGGACATGCGGGTCAATCCTCACTTTTTTATTGTCCCAACTAGTTCTACGCATCGTACTTTATCGTGTTCAACACTGAAACCCTTACATTCCGTAGTTTTCCGGTGCGCCCGAAATAACAATTATTCCTTTCCGGCATCACCCATTCCGGCCAATAACATTAGCGTAATTCGTTATACGCCGTCTTCACTACTCCACTACTACGACAGCTTCATCCAAACTCGGCATAATCAAACATACACTACCCGAACGATGTCGACCTCAAATTGGAATAAGAAGGCTTTCGATCCCATTCAAAGAACTGCATCTCCATATCCTGACAAACACAGTGTTGGCCCTTCTCATCTTCTTGCACAACACCAACCTACAAACAACTATCATTCTTCATCACTCTCCACTCTCAAAATGGTTTCTACAAATCCAAGTGTTAATCGCACATGTCAGTATACTCTTCTTCGTACTCCCACTACCTCATAGCTGCTTCAGACCTGCCGCATTCGACCTGGCATCTGACGTCCAGGTCAAAGTGGATGTCGACATGCCTTCGACTTTAGCAATTCCATCCACAGTCTTTCAACTTTCAACTCTATGATTACGCTCCGCTATAGCTTTGCTACAAATCATTTTGCTAACGTCGTTCTTTGTAGCACTTCACCCAAGCGGTGTACAGCCACAAGTTGAGCACACCGAGCTGGAGGAGGAACTTCACGAGAACGCACATATCGATTATGATCGTGTAGCTATTGTATGTATTTTACCCCTCTTTGAATCAACACCTTGCTAATTCCTATTCTTTTCTAGGTTCCTAACCCAAGTGTCGCGGCCCTTTACGAAGATGCCCTTGTGTACGAAACTGGTTCTGCCATCACATCTACCGGTGCCCTTACTGCATATTCTGGAGCTAAGACAGGTCGCTCACCTTTAGACAAGAGAATTGTCAAAGAACCATCATCTGAAAATGAGATTTGGTGGGGACCAGTCAACAAGCCAATGACACCCGATGTAAGAAAACCCTCCTCCTTTACATTCGTTTCTTGTGTCTTTACATTTTTCATTTTCTCTTGGAAATTCATCCAATACGTTTTCAGTCGAGGAAATCTACATTGGCTCTACAACACTACAAAATTCATGAACCATTTCGCGCACATCTTTATATCTACAACTTATCAATTCTTCTTTCCTTCATATCAAACACAAACAATCTGCACAAACAATCTTTCTAAAGAGATTTCCCCGCACATTTCTACGTCATAAGCTTTTGGGTATCCTCGGCTTTATCTTTTTCCCTCCGTCCCCAAGCGAAAATGCGGGGTGCATACAAACCGATAATATCCCGATCTTGCTGCTATTAGTGATCAGCTATCACGTTCCCCCTTTTCATGTCGCATGCGAGCTTGATCTTTAGATATTCGAATATTCAAAATATAATATACTAATGTTAATAATAGGTATGGAGAATCAACCGTGAACGTGCAATTGATTATTTGAATACGAGAAATCGTATTTATGTCGTCGATGGTTTCGCAGGATGGGATGAGAAATATAGAATCAAGGTTCGAGTCGTATGCGCTCGTGCCTACCACGCTCTGTTCATGCGTAATATGCTCATTAGACCTGATCGCAAAGATCTCGAACATTTCCACCCAGATTATACTATCTACAACGCAGGATCTTTCCCTGCCAACAGATATACCGAGGGTATGACTTCAGGTACTTCAGTTGCTATCAACTTTGCAGCGAAGGAGATGGTTATCTTGGGTACCGAATATGCCGGAGAGATGAAGAAGGGTGTTTTCACAGTTCTCTTCTATGAAATGCCTGTAAAGCACAACGTTCTCACTCTTCACTCGTCAGCCAACGAAGGTAAAGACGGAGACGTCACTGTCTTCTTTGGTCTTTCGGGTACCGGTAAAACAACACTTTCAGCAGACCCCAACCGTGCCTTGATTGGTGACGATGAGCACTGCTGGAGTGACCGCGGTGTTTTCAACATTGAGGGTGGTGTGAGTGTTTCAGCCTCTGTATCACGTTGGACCAAGCTAACAATCTGCAGTGCTACGCCAAGTGCATCGGTCTTTCAGCGGAGAAGGAACCTGATATCTTCGGTGCCATCCAATTTGGCTCTGTTCTTGAGAACGTTGTCTTTGACCCAGATACTCGTCTTGTTGATTATGACGATTCAACCTTGACTGAGAACACCCGTTGCGCATACCCAATTGAGTACATTTCCAACGCCAAGATTCCTTGTCTATCGACAAACCACCCAAGTAACATCATTCTTCTTACATGTGATGCTCGTGGTGTCCTTCCACCCATTTCCAAGCTTAACTCCGCCCAAACCATGTTCCACTTCATCTCCGGTTACACCTCAAAGATGGCCGGTACCGAAGATGGTGTCACAGAGCCACAGGCTACCTTCTCATCTTGCTTCGCTCAACCTTTCTTGGCTCTACACCCAATGCGTTATGCTAAGATGTTGGCTGAGAAGATTGAGCACCACCAGGCTAATGCTTGGTTGTTGAACACTGGGTGGGTTGGAGCTGGTGCTACCACTGGTGGCAAGCGTTGCCCGTAAGTACAATTGAAATCTTCCGGAATAATATATGCTAAATATGAACTAGATTGAAATACACTCGCGCTATTCTTGACGCAATCCACTCTGGAGAGCTTGCAAAGGTTGAGTATGAAAATTACGATACCTTCAACCTCCAAGTACCAAAGACTTGCACCAACGTTCCATCGGAATTGTTGAACCCAAGAAATGCATGGAGTCAAGGGGATGATAGTTTCAAAGCCGAGGTCACCAAACTTGGTGGTCTCTTCGTTGAGAACTTTAAGAAATACCAGTCGGAGGCTACTGAGGATGTCATTGCAGCAGGACCAGCTGTTAAAGTCTGAGGACTGTATATAATAACGGGGTTTGATTTTTGATTTAAGCAAACATATGCTGGCGTTTTTAAATGGTAGGATGTATCGGATGTATCATCAAGCATCAAGATTAATAAGTAACTGAATGAACAAAAATTACTTTTATATTTGATGAGCAATAAAATATATGTGAGTGGTTGTTGGAACGTTTCAGGTCCATTTAAGTTGAACCTATCTGAGAGTTTCCAATTGTCATGATTTTTAATGTCCAAATCCTCATTGGAACATGATGATAGTGATGTATATATGGGTAAGATCAAACGTTTTGCGTAGTATTTGGAATTTGGCCAAATGCAATGATAATGAAAGATGTAAGATATAGAGCAGCAATGGGGTATCATTTACCCCTTTTTACCTTCCTTCCCTCATTCAGCCTCTTGAACAAGGCTACATATCAATGTCAGATTAATCTCTTCATGAATATCTAGAAACGACTTTACTTCGTATTTTAATCACTTAATACCACAATCACCAAATTACAAAAATGTACCTACACATATATTCTCAAGTAGAAGTGAATAAAGAAACGCACCCCACAGAACATGATCTAGAACTATGTAGGTTTGGCTTTCTATGGAGTAGTCCGCCAATCTAGCAATCGGCTCGCACCAACACATCAACCTCCAGACGTCTTGCATCACAATCCATAAAAAAGTACACAATCACCTCTTCCGATTTTCAGCCCTGCATCAATCACATACATTACATCTACACTAAAGCAAACGACAATTAAAATGCCCCCTCATGCTCCTTCAGAAGACGCCCCCCCATCACAATCCCAATCGCAATTACGGCCCAATCTGGCGGCCCATCACCGATCCACGTCCTCGGTCACCAGCCACCAAAGCGATAGTCCGGCGGGTACACCTCCAGCTTCAGGTACAACTGCTACACAGCATAAAGAACCCAAAGCCAAAGGCGAGCGCAAACACGTAGTTGGTCACGGCAAATACGGACGTGTGAGCAGTAATAAGGCGTTGCATAAATTATCACGTACATCGAGCACGAATAACCACAATCATCATCACAGCCATACTACGAGCAACGATAATCTGAAGGAATTTCAAGCGCCGTGGGATAAACCACATAATTCGAGCACGAATCTCAATCGGCAGAAAAATATTTCGCAGACGGCCCTGAAACGGAATCGTAGCTCGGCAGATGTACAAAGTACTACGGGACAATCGAGAAAATCTAAAAACTCGGATGAGCAGCACGGTAAAAAGAGACCGAACAGTGTACATTTTGAATTGGGTATAGATACACCGGGGAAAACGGAAGTCGAAGACGACACCGAAGAAGGTTGGGAAGAAACTAGTTCGACCGCAAGTCCGGCTTTGAGTCGCAGTGCAAATACATCTGCCAAACCATCTGCCGCCAATTCCGCAGCTAATTCTCGACATCAATCTCCTCTTTCATCGCCAAAAGCTAAAAGGACTAACGGTCCGGATTCGGTGAGAGATTTTGCGAAGGGCTCAACTGATCACTTTGATGGGAATGGTAGTGTGAAGACAGATGCAAACACGAAAGCGAAAAGGAATAGTTATTCAACCGCAGACGCAAAATTGATCACAGAGAAATTACTTCAGAGAACACCATCTCACTTAGCTTCGGAGACAAAAATGAGCATGGCGACTGCGAAACCAACGCCGAAAATGGCGCATGCACATTCTGGTAGCATGGATCGATCGACGGGGATGGTGAAGAGTATGGGTGCTAGTACCGCGAGTGGAAATCAGGAATTGATATCGAGATTCGTTGGAGATGCTGGAACACCGGGGGAAAATAGTCCGAAGTTTCCTCCGCCGGATCATGGGGGGGAATCTAGGACGGGCGCTATAAATGGTAGTGCATTGGAAAAAACGCATGGCGGAATTGGGGAAATGGCAAGAGCGAAATCGATGGGAAATTTGACCAAACATAATGTTGATGAGGAAGAGGAATCGGCTCTCTTGCCTCGCAGTCGAAAGAGTTCTACAAGTGGTGTTTCGGGACCGCCGAATGCGTATAATTCGCGCACGCAACAGAAACTCTGGCTTCAGCGAGCATCGTCAAATATTGAACCCCATAGAGAGGGTCTGGGTGCATTGTCATTGTTGAATGGCGGGATGGGAATGGGTAATCATGGTGGCGCGAGCAGTATGGGATTCGGACCGGGAATGGGTATAGGTATGGGAATGGGAATGGGTAATGGAGGATACTTAATGGGCGGAGATGGAAAGGGAGATCCGAGGATTAAAGTACAGCTTGAGAGAACGGGTCTAGAATATTTGGTTGTAAGACGTCATCAAGATCCTGTTGGACGAGGTATTAAGAGGTTAGAGAAAATGGGGGAACTTGGGCATGGGGGTAAAAATATCCTAGGATCTGGAAATGGTCATGGACATAGTAAGAGTGCGAGTGTGAGTCGAGCGGGTAGTTTGAGGGAAAGGAATGGGAATTTGAGGAAGGGAGTAAGACAAACTTATGATGGAGAGGAGAGGGGTAGTGATACGGATCGGGATGGTGGTAGTGGATTGGACGAGGAAAACGTGGCGGCGCTCTTGAGAAGTTTATGGGAGAAGAGTTTCGAGGGGAGTGGAAGTGCGGATTAGCGCGAGAGTCTTGGAAACTCCATTGATTTGGCTTCTGAGCTTTGTATTTGTGGACTGGGGGGTAGTAAGTAATGGGCAGGATGGAATAAGTTCTTGATATAGATAAAGGAATGGAGTTTTGAAATTTGCAAGGCGTGCATGGGTTAGGCTAGGAAATCCCTCGAATATAGTTTCTTGATATTTTGAAATTGCTCACTGGCTGACTTGGGCTGGTGGATATTTAGATGGAGTGTTTGATTCACATAATGGATTTACTTGCGAGGATGTATACATATAAATGCTAAAGTCTCTGCGTGATATCTGAATGAGTGGTTTGGGGGTAGATAATGATGGCTCGTTCCTAGGTTGGTAGGTAGCTAGAAGATATCTTGGAAAATAATGGTGATGAGTCTTTATCCAGGTAGGTAGGTCGTCTAGAAGAATTCTCAAGGTGGAATCCTAACTCTCTAATAAGATCAATACTGACTACGATATCGTGAAGTCTCAAATATATACTCTGGTAATATCTGAATATGGATAAGATAATCACATATGGGAACTTTGAAGAGGGGAGTACTACTTGGTGAAGAGGGAAATGTCACTGAATAGGTATCTATAGAATGATTCTCTAGTTTGAAAGAATGGGAAAGATCATATTGATTGAGAGTGTGGTTATATGTAGAGATGCGGGAGTACTGAGTATGTTATATTATAGTATGGTATGGTATGGTATGGTATGCTGCGATATGATAGGATATGATGTGATTTTGATAGCATAAAAATGTGAAGGAGGACTCACCGGAAGAGGGACGAACCGGGGAGGGGGGGGGAGGGGGGTTGAGTTGAGAAGAGGAGAGGAGAGGAGAGAGAACAGCAGAGATTCAGTACTCGATATTAATAGGTGCTGTATCATAATTGACTTTGAATTCTGCAATAAAAGAGGGAAATAGAGGGGATGGCGTTCACATCTGGTCGCGTGGAGGTAAGTACTAAGGAGAGAGATTTGGGATCCATGGAATGGGATCTGGGTTATCGAGTGAGTTTGGACGGATAGAGTCATTGATTTATTCAGTATCTCTCGACATGTGGAGTTGGGATAATGTGGGATGACACTAGATTTTTGGTATTTGAAGGGATGCTTTGAGTTGAGTGATCAATAATGAATACTTCTCTTCATCCTCATGGTTTGCAACAGTGAAGCTATGAAAGTAGAAAAATATCTATGCAAAATGCTCATTCTTTTTGGTATTATAAAATTTCCAAGTAAGTTCCTCTGCTATGCACTGCTATGCTAAATGTCCATACATCTATCACCAAACTTCTATTATACCTGTATGTTTACACCATTCTTGCCTAACAAACTCATCCTCAAGATCTAAACAACATCAAACCCGCCTCTTCATTGTTCACTTCATCATCGCTAACATCATCCTCATCACCACCCTCACCCAAATCCAATTTTCTACCCAACAAAGTTGCGAAAAATCTATCCCTCGCACTCTCTTCCCACGTATTTCTATCCTCCGGCGCCATGAAATTTTGCAACTTTTCGTGAACTGTGAATTTCATTTTTCTACCCTTGCTAGCCTTGGTATCAACGTTCTTTCTGGTCTTTGCTTCTTTCACTGCAGTCCATTGCATTGGTTTACCAGCTTCACCAGTAGCTGCAGAAGAGGAGTCGACCATTCGTTGATCGAGCAATTCTTTGAGAAGTAGCTGGTAGAAATCGGCATCGTCGTAAATGTTTGGATCGGTGGTAAGCTTCATTTGTTTCTGAACAGGAGCGCAAGAGCGAGGGACCTTGGTGCGGGAAATGAGATGTTCAGAACTAGAGAGTGTATCTTGCAGAAGAGAAGTGATGGATTGCTGGGGCGCATTGGGGTTGAGCTTGCGGGAGATAGGGATGGCTGTTGTAGCGCGGACTTTGCTAGACCACTTTTCAAGGACAGTCTGTCGATTGTCGATATTTGCAATCTCAGAAGCCTGCATTCGCTCCCAAATAGCAGAAGAGGAGGTGGCGGAATCAATGCCGCGCTTCCGTTTCTGTCCTGTTTTGGATGTACTGGCGGCCTTTGAGAGATCGTGTCGAAGCCCATCAATTGTGTTCCATAACTTAATAGCAGCTTCTTCTGCGGCTTGGAAAGGATTCTCATCGCTATCCTCCTGATTTTTATCGTCGGCAGCAGATAGCGAGTTGGTAGCTACTAAAGCCTTTTGAAGGCGAATACGAACATTGAGAAGGGAATCGAAGGCTTTGCGTTGTTGCTTCACAGCGTTACCCTTTTCTGCATCTGCTTTTGCAGCCTGAGAAATCGTTGCAACGACTGTTTTCTGTTCTTCTCCCATAATCTTTCGCAGCTCAGCACGTCTTGCTTGCTCGTCTTCATCATTTTCGTT